TTTTTTTACGACGTCCCATACAACGTGGGGTTAAAAACGCCCGGGAACCACTTTGCGCGCGTGCACACAGGACGCCGGCGCGCGCAATACTGATCCAACGCTGTGATTCAACGCGGCAATATTTAAGCTCCAGCTACTGTGAAAATAAAGTTATTTGGTTGCGTTTAAATATACAATCAACGCATTTTAAAAGTGTTGGGGTTAAAATAACCCCACCTCGTATGCCGAAGGTTAAATTACTTTTCCACATTGGGCGGGACGAGAGACAATGTCAGCCCCTTATTGGCTAAAAACCACCCTGTTCTTTCTTCTACATTATTGCGCTACTCGTATTAGCCGCTGAAAGGTAAAAGACCTTATGAAAAAAAAAGTTTGATGTAAACAAACATGAAAAATTTAACAGAAAAGGGTTATCCACAACTACCACTCCTACCAAAATACACGCAATTACAAGTTACAATAACACGTAAACAAAGCCCTCAAAAGCAACATTAGGGCGATTATCTATTATAATTTCGAAAGACAAACTATAATTTTCCATAACAATAAATCATAATCAAAGGGTCTTTTAATTTCCAATCAAATTCGTAGGCAACATCGTCTGCTAATGACTATTTTCCGTGTCACAAAGCACTCAGATTTGGTTGTAAGGTATAGTTATTTATTTTTACGTAAAATTTTTGGTAAAACAATTTAATATTATATATAACTCTCCCACATTTAGAAGGAGAGCCATTGACGTGAAGTTCGATTGTCAACAATCTGTCGATGTAATAATTAGTAGATTTATGAGGTGGGATTTCCGAAACGGAAGTGATTTTTAGCATATTTTACAGGTATATTCAGTAGGCCTGGGAGTCAGCTATTATATTATATATATTTTTCATACCCCTAAGTGGAAAGAGTTGTACACCTTTATCATGTTTTTTCGAAGTATTTTATATCGCAAAACAACATTTTTAATGTACTATATTAAACATTCATTATAAGAATATTTTTAAAGGAGAGTTAAATTTTTTTTTTCTGTTTTTAACGAGTTTTATACTTGACTACGAAGATCGAAATGGAAAAGGTAATTATTAAGAATATGGTTATGGCATTGTTTTGCAAAAATATATGTTTCTAGTATGTTATACGAGCGACCTTTCCCAACTTCAAACGGCTGCAATGCTGATACTAAATTTATCCACTGTTCAATGGCCGAACTATTCAATCGTTCTATGGAAACAACCGCATCAAAATCCATTGGGTAGTTTTGAAGATTTAACCATACATAGGGACAGAGAAAGCGACTCTGTTTTATATACTATGTAAATATTTAAATTAGATACTGAAAAGATTGTAAACTATGCAGAAAATAAAACACTGCAGCAATTCTAAACAAAAAAAAAAAACTTTTTTTTCAGTGCTACTCAAACTGTATAATAAAACAATGTTATTTGTTTTGAATCTATTTTTCATCGTGAATATTTGAATACACGGAAGTGTTTGATTGTGTACGCTTTTATTTACGTGTAAAACATTTAGTCAGTTCATTCATGCAGGTAAACTGTTTGTTACATAAACATTATACAACTGAAAATTGTTTGAACTAAATGTTTAAATAAAGAATATTGTTTATCGTATAATAAATGAATGGTACGTTAGGTTTTGTCAATTACACACAGTACAGTACAATTAGTTTCCTTCAGACACTAACTTAAAGTCCAGATTTGAAATTTCAGAGTTAAAAATCAGCGCCGTGGACGTTTTCGGTCCACAACATTAAGCTGAGCATAAGGAACTATAACAAGCTAACAGCACACTTAGTTTAGGTTTATCTTTATATATATGTATGCTTTTCGCAGAACGTTTCCTAGTTTAGCCATCTGATTGGTTGGTTAATGAAACAATGATACTGGCTTTCGTTCACAACTTTCTTCGCGTTAGAAGGTGATTTTGGCAGAATTTTCTTCTGTTTTAAATTTCCGATTTAAGTCTATTAGTTGAAGAGATTAACGTCTAAATAGTCTTATAGGTATGTATTTTTTTTCTTTCCGTTTCACACTACTACTGTTTTATTGGAAATCGTGTACAAACACGTTTTATTTTTTTACCCCATTTCACTGAAAACTATTAACTACATAGCCAATAATAAAAATGGCCACAAATGGGCCGGTTCGACCGGAGTGATGCCACGGCCTCACAGAAAACCGGCGTAAAACAACTACAGCGTTGTGTTTCGCCGTGTGAGTGATGTTACCGGAGGCCCATTCCCTACTCCATCCCTTCCCAATTCTTAAATATCGAAATCCATTATCCCTTAAAGGCCGACAACGCAATCGTAACTCTTTTTGTGTTGCAGGTGTCCATGGGCGGCCCGATGGTAAGCATGATTGCTTACCATCGGGTAATCCTTTTGCACTCGCAACCCTGTTGGAGGACGTCTGTGGATTTGGACAAAAGCTACCCACTTTCCACCTTAGCTGAACCAGACATGAGCATATGGCGCTCAAAGGTCCATTAAACGACTACAGACAGAACCTCCTAGGGTTGTCCAGCTAGAGTTGCGGGTTTAAGCGCTAAAAAGTAACGCGACGTCGGCCTCTCGCCTTACCCAGGTCGGGAGAAGGCATTTGATGATTTTCCCCTTACAAGAAGCCAATAGTTTTAGTTGGTTTGTTTGATCGATACCTAGAATAGCTATAATGCATACAACAGAACCAACTATTAGACAATAGAAATGATATTATTCGATTCCAACGCGTTATTGTCGTGTTAACAGAATATAATCCATAGATTTAGGTTTTCAGCCTTGAATTACGCGATGTTAGATACTTAGTTTAATTTATTACGGCTTTTGTTTACATCAATAAATACTGTTAAGTCCTATTAAAGTTGATAAGTTGTATTTATACTACATAAACGTGTGAAATACTTTTTATCATCAAAAATTAGTACAATGTATTTGTAATTCTCGAAATACAAAATTGTAGACAATTTATATTTTTTTTAAGATCTATTTTATTCTTAAGTAAAGAAATGTATTTATTTTGTTTTTAAAAATATTTTAAAAACATCTCTTCTAAGAATAGGGTTACTAACAATATATATGATTAGGATAATATTAGTTAGTTCATCCAGTAAGTTTTTATTCATATACAGATTTACTATGAGGCTATCAAAATGTTATTCGTAACGCTGCCTGTCAGAGCAGGAGCTGGAAGGCCTTCTCGCCTCACCTTGATTGAGAGGAGTCATGTAACGAATTTCCCCTCGCAAAGAAAGGTATCAAACTAAAACAACAAAAACAAACTTATGATTATGACCTAAACAGCTAAAAATAAAACTTGTACTAGTAAAAATAAAAAAGAATTCACGATACATTTAAATAATTTTTAAAAAGAAACGCGAGCGTTCTCTTTCATAAATTCTAAATGTTACAAGCATTTTTATTCCGAAAAAGTTGCTAAACCCGCGGTTCGCTGCAGTTGTGGCCACAACTTACATATGTACTACGGTCGTAACTTTAACCCGTAAACGCTGTGTGATTGTGGGAGCAAATGTAACACAGAATGTGCATTTGAGTTACTGTTATTTTGTATAAAATAAATTAGGAATTAAATGGAAAATGTCTGAGAAAATTCTGACTTGATTTCTTAAAGGACGGTTAACTTAAATCTTTCCTGGCATCTATACCAATAACTTTAGGTATGGATAAATTGTAAGAGGTACTTTAAAACTTAAAAATTATAAATTTGATCTGTTTTTTTTTATGTGGTAGGAAGCAAACGAGCCGATGGACCGGAGCTCGTATTGGACTCGGGACACGAAAGGAGTCGCAGGCACGTTGCTGGCCCTTTAGGCATTAGTAGGCGCGTTTCTTGACAGTTGAGTTTTTAGCCGTTACAATTCGGAAATGTCCGGTGCAAAATAAAACCTAAAAGATAATTATTTAAAACTTTTCTGCTGATTTAGACATTCAGGTTTTCACGTGGCTCTTATTATCGGGAAATCCTTCATGCCAAACGCAGACGAATTTCATAAAGAAATATAATTTTTGGCTGCAAGCCATTTTTTGATATCCTAAAAGAGGTGAAAAGTTCCGGCCGGATCAGCATATTTTTTTGTTTGTAGTGCAGATCAAAATTTAAATCCGACTTACCTGCCTTTCATTTTTCCATTAAAACAGAATTTAATGGAGAAATAATTACTCTTTCTTGTAAAGAAAAATTTTTACATTGTTTTAATACTATTTTTAATTAAAACTCTATATTACGTAAGTCATACTTTGCTTAAATATATAATATCATAGTAAATATCTAGTTCAAAACAATGCGAATTCCAGAAAATCAGGCAAATGTGCTGGAATATTAAGGCCTGTAAAGTAATAAACATAAAAATTGGTAGGAACATAATTCTTTACAAACTCCCTTGCTTAGAGAGCGTTTAAAACTCGGGCTATTTATCAAATAATTCTTAACTTGAACCCATACAAAATAATGGGAAATAATAAATAAAACCGAGCCACAATCAAAAGTTTAATTGCTGATACAATTTTGGAAAGTTCTAAAAACATAAACTGTGGTTCATGACTCACAAACATTTCGTGAAAAACGGCGTCTATCGTGACCGAGTTCTATCAGTGCAGTCTACGAGTCTAGCAGTCTAGCAGTCTAGGCATTACATCAAACCATATCATTTGCCTTTATTTTACTTCATGCTATCTTTGTACAGCGCCATATTTCGTTTGTTTTTCGAAGAATGTTATTATAGTTTCAACGAATTATCCGTCAAGAAAACTTTTTTACCTCGTTGGCTGAGTAGGTAGGTACCTAATTGCAAGTTGCACTGCCTAGTCAAAAGTCTTTTTTTTTTTTTTTTTTTGTGAGGGGAAAATCATCAAATGACTTCTCCCGCCCAGGGCCGGGCAGGAGGGAGTGTCAGACTCTTACTGACTAAAAACCCCCCTGTTCCTTCTCCTGCTCTGTGCCGAGGTCGCGGTACCTCATTGCGCTTACCCCGCAACCCCGGCTGAACATCAGCCCTTTAGGGCCCCGTCTGTGGTGGTCTATTGGCTCTTTGAGGAGCGCGCGGAACGCTACGCGCCGTACGCTCGGGCCTGGTTCTGGTCGGGCGGCGAGCTGCCCTTACTCGCCGACCGCAGGCCCGTACTTACGGTGGCCGGAGATCGTCCCTCGATCCCCGACGCCCGTAGTGTCGCCAGTTGCGGCTGCTGGGGCGCGAGGAGGAGGATTGCTCCCTCACGCGGGCCGCCTCTCTCTTTGCGAGCATGACCGCTTCACAAAAGGAGGAGACGGCGTCCCAGTTCCTCTCACTCCGCACCATGGCCTCGACTAAGGCCGGGCGCGAGAGGTCGCCGCCGCCGATCACTTCCCTGAGGATACGGCGGTGCTCAGCCCAGGCAGGGCATACCGCTACCGTATGCTCCACCGTATCCTCTAGGTGGTCCTCACAATGACGACACTCGGGCGTTTCCTCCCGCTGAATCCGAAACAGGAACCTACCGAAGCTGCCGTGCCCGGTAAGCACCTGCGTCAGACGGAAGGTGAGGACGCCGTGGCGTCTCTCAAGCCACTCCTCAAAGAGGGGTCTTACCGCTGCTATGGTAGCGTGCCCGGCCCTCGGTTGCGACAGTCGTTGTCTCCACTCTGCCATGAGATCTCGCCGGAGCTCATTCCGCCACGCACTTATTTGGCGCGGCAGAGGATCTTCGCCCCGGCGACGCGCGTCTGCGCGCAAACTGTAGACGCGCGCGAGCGCCTTCGCTTCTAGATCCCACGGCGGTGATCCGGCAAGGAGGTTCGCCGCCTCCCCGGAGATCGTGCGATACCCGCGGATTACTCGTATAGCCATGACCCTCTGGGACGCGACCAGCGTACGAGCCGGCCGCCGCTTCAAGTCCGGCGCCCACACAGGGGCACCGTAGAGGGCCATGGATCGCACAATCCCCATATACAACCTCCGGCAGGAGGCGTTTGGCCCCCCGAGGTTGGGAAGGAGCCGCTTGAGCGCGGCCCCAGACCGTTCCAACTTAGGGGCCAAACGACGAAAATGCTCCGTGAAGTTCCATCGGCTGTCGAGGACGAGACCCAGGTACTTCATCGCCGACTCGACGCCGATGGTAACTCCTCCTGCCGTTACTTGGAAAGAAAGAAAGAAAGAAAGAAAGAAAGAAATAATTTTATTTGCACAACCTGGACACAGATACAAAAGTAGATAAAAAAAAACCAGTAAAAATTAACCAAAACAAAAATAGTAATAAAAAAAAGAAAAAAACAGTGATGTGTGTCTCAGCGTTGGACAAATAGGCCCAGGTTCAGCTTCGATGCCAGGCGGTTATTGCCTGGCGCTGGTTTTCAACTGGACCTTCAAGTGATCAGATCACGGATGTAACCAGTCCCTGATAATATATTATAACATTAAAGAATTAAATAAAAGTAAACAGATAAATATAAATGCTAAATTGGTGATAAATAAATATGTGTTGTGTCGTGTGATTTGAGTAGGTGTGTATGTGTGAGTGTAGTTGAATATGATAGCGGACAACAAAACTAGGATCGCAATACGAGCGAGTCAAAACCTGTTTCCTTTATCTAACTAAGAGACAATAAATATCAACAGACCGATATTTTGCTCCCCTCGCAACCCAATACGCAACATGCATCCGTGCGCAATGGACTGCTGTTTGATTTTTTAAAATCTAAATTATGGTGGTAGAATGAAAATCTATGGTGATAGAATAATTACATTAAAATAAGTATTAATTAGTGAAATATTGAGTATACTGCTATGAGAAGGTGTTAGAAAGAAGGTAATAGGGTAAGGTAAGTTTTGTGAAACAATGATATTAATTCTATTATAAATAAATCATACTACTTTCCTACGTATATAAATTGTAATTCTATTTTAGATAAGCCCGCGCCTTATTGTGGAGGCACCCAGCCATCAAAGGTGCAGCACCACATCATCTCGGCCACCTATATTTATAGTAGTAGGGTGAAAACTATTGTGATCCCGACACCGCTTGATCGCTCGGCACCAGTCGCCACGCAAGTAGGCTACATACCACGGGTGAGTTAAGAATATAAACGGTTTTTACACATCTGCAATAGTGACGATGGTTTGCAGGTATCTTATTATTATTATTTTTATATTTTTATAGGTCTCACCATGCGCGTTGGTACGATTACGGTGCAGCATTGGATGACGCAACAGACACCCTCTAATCGGGAATGCTGAAGACAGACAATTGCCGAATAAGCAGCAGGGAGCCGCGCATGCACATAATATGATAAGTGAGCTAGATGTTTTATTTAAATAATTGATATGTTTTGATTTAGCATGTCTAATTCCCTTTGTGCGTCCACCAGAAACTGCCGTAGGCGTCTTCTAAAAGAATCTATTGTGTTTAGTTCCCTAATAGGCGGTGGCAGATTATTCCAAACTTTTGATGCCGCGTAACGGAAACTGCCTCGAAATGCCGCTGTTCTGTGTGTCTGGGTCGAAAGTTGTTGAGAACATAGTCTCCTCCCGCATTCTCGTCTAGCCGTTACCCAACATAACTTATTGTATAAGTAATCTGGTTTTTGATATTTAATTACACCGTACAGAAGGCAAGCTAAGTGTAATTTGCGTCGCGATTTCATTTTTAAAACATATTTTTTATTAAGAAACGGCGTAACATGAACTCTGGGAGGAATACTATAGCAAAACCGAGCGCAAGCGCTTTGTACTCGTTGTATTAGTTTATCTGTTCGTGCTAGTAGTCGCGGGCCATATACTGTGTCTGCATAATTTAATTTGGACAAGACCAGGGTTTCTACTAGTTGCTCTCGAAGCCGCTCGGATAAATAAGGTCTCATTTTATATAAAACCTTAAGGCGGTAAAAACAGTTACGTACCGAGTCCGCTATATGCTTCTCAAAACGAAGACCAGTATCCATTACAAGGCCAAGATTACGCGCCTCATACACTCTATCAATTGGTTCCCCCTTTAATTTTATATTGAATGAATTGGGTAAACTAGCCACTCGCTGTTTCGTACCAAATACAAGATACTTTGATTTTGTTGGGTTCAGACAAAGGCAATTTGCTTCAGACCAGGCGGTGATTCTGTGAAGATCATCATTGATGTCGTTAATGGCATGTTCGTATTCACCTGGTCTGAAGGATATGTAAAGTTGCACGTCGTCGGCATATATATGGAATTTACACTTCTGTAGACATTCAACTATATCCGCGCTATATAAAATAAATAAGATAGGACCCAGTATCGATCCCTGTGGGACACCTCTTTCTACAGAGGTATGGGACGATATATTAGTAGTGCCATCACCTGAACGCAATTCCACAAATTGTTTTCTATTGCTAAGATAGCTGAGAAACCATTGTGTGGCACTTGGGTCAAAACCATAATATTTTAACTTAGTTACTAATAGCGGGATATTTATTGCATCAAATGCCCGTGAAAAATCCAGTAGAACCAGTATAGAACACATTCCTTGGTTTTGTGCCGCCAGTACGTTATCCGTCACATCCAGTAAGGCAGTGGAAGTACTGCGTTGTTTTCGAAAGCCAGACTGTAGATCGGGTAATATATTATTATGTTCCAAATAATCTGTTAACTGACGAGCAACTACCTTTTCCAACACTTTTGACAGACACGGTAAAATACTTATCGGGCGAAGGTCTTTTATTTCTACCGGATTTGAGACTTTCGGTAATGGCCTTACACAAGCAATTTTCCATATGTCAGGAAATGTTGACGTTTCTATGGAGCGGTTTATAATACTTATAATAATATTTAGAGTGAACGGCAAAGTCATATTGAGCATATCCAGGGAAATGCCGTCGTGTCCCTCCGCGTTACTTTTAAGGTTAGAGATAACACGTACAATCTCATTTTGCTCCACGGGAATGAGCGTGAAGGTTGCTTCGCAATATTTATTAGTGGTATAGTGACTCACGAGCGACGGACTTGCCACTGTATTCCCTGGAACTATCAAAAAGGTATTATTTATAATATCTGGATTTGCAAAATGCGATGGAAGCTCCTGTGCAGGTTTACTAGATGTAAGCGTTGTTTTTAAATTTTTCCACAATAACTTAGGAGTTTTGATGTTGTTATTGATATTATGTTTGAAATAAGCTACCTTTTCTTGATATAAAGAACTGATAACTAGTGATTTCAGCTCTTTATAATATTCCTTTTTAGAGGCTAATTTCGTTTTTCTGTAATTATTCAACGCCTCATCCCGTAAACGCATCATGATTTTTACCGTGTCCGTAATCCAAGGTGGTGATTGTTCTTTTATAGTGCATGTTCTTACTGGCGCGTGAATGTCAAATAGGTATGTTAAACATGAATTAAAAGCTTCAACCATATCGTTCACATTATTTATGGTAGTAATATTGTTATGGCATAATAGTTTCAAGTCATTCTGGAATTCATCAATATTTATGCTTTTTAGTGGCCGAAACTTTTTTATATATGGTTTAAACTTATCCCGTTTCACATGAAACTCCGTTACAATAATGGAGTGCCCATTAATCGACCCAAGGGATTCTATTGTAGTATACCTTGCTCTTAAATTTAGGTCCGTAAATAGGAGATCAATGAGAGTTTCACTGGATGTCGTGAAGTGAGTTGCAGCTGTTACTAATTGCGTGAGACTGAGACAGCTCATGAACTCATTGATTTTTCTAGATTTTATTCCGTTTACATCTAACAAATTAACATTAAAATCCCCCATTATAATGCAGTGGTCGAAATTTCCCAGTGCACTAAGCGATTCCGTTATGGCATCCAAGAAAATAACTAAGTCCAACCATGGTGGTCGGTAAGCCGTGCCTATGACTATTTTTTTTCCATTTAAAGTAAGCGTCAGCCACATTTGTTCGACAGATTCGAACCTTGGATCAGCCGCTGTATTCCAAGTACGCACGCTTAGCCCTCGCCGCACATAAAAACCGACGCCCCCACCACGACCCGAGCGCACACTCGCTGGCCGCGGCGTGTGGCGGAGACGATAGCCCGGCACGGCCGGCGCGCGCCCCTCTTCCCCGGTTCGCAACCAAGTCTCGTTTATAGCTAAAATG